GGACGTTTGGGAATTGCTACGGGTGGAGAGGGGGTGGGAAGGCACCGGGAGCGGTGTGGGATTTGTGGGATGAGTGTAGGATTTATGGGATCACTGGGGGTTTTGGGATGAGTGTAGGATTTATGGGATCACTGTGGGATTTCTGGGAATGCTGTGGGATTTCTGGGATCACTGTAGGATTTTTGGGATAACTGTGAGGTGTTTGGGATAACTGGGGGGGTTGGGGATGATTGTCAGGTTTTTGGGATAACTGCAGGTTTTATGGGATAACTGCAGGATTATGGGAATTCTGTGGGATTTCTGGGATAACTGGGGGCTTTGACTGTAGAGGAGATCGGGACAACCCTCGGGGAATTTTGAGGGGTCTTCCCACCTTCCCAACTCATCTCTTGCTCCTCCCTCTTTATTTAAGCCCCACCCCCTTTATTTAAGCCCCTCCCACCTAATTTAAGCTCCTCCCACCCCACTTTTCCACTTGATCCTAGGAAAACACCTGGAACTCCTGGAAAGGGGGAAAACACCCCAAACCAGCACAATTATCCCAAAAACCTCATTAATAATTGGTCAGAGAAGCCCCACCCCCGACCTAAGCCCCTCCCACCCCACTTTTCCACCATTGAATTCCTGGAATTCCGGGGGGAGCAAAACACCCCAAACCACCTCCAAGACACCCCAAATTATCCCAAATCCCTCATTAACAATTAATTGTCGAGGCCCCGCCCCCGGTTTAAGCCCCGCCCCCGGGGGGAGGGGGTCACTTGTAGAGGAGGTGGACGCGGCTCCCGTCGCAATTCCCGCGTCCCAACTTCTCGGCCTGCTCGGACACGAGGCAGCGCACGAGGGGCAGGTTGGGTTGGTAGAAGGGGGGTCCCGTCCCCCCTCCCCCGCCCGGGGGGGCCGCGGGGGCTCCCCCCGATCCCGGCGGGAAGTGGTTGTTGTCGCCGTTCTCCCGGGAAGGGTTGGACGGGCGGCGGCGGGAGCGGAGCTGCTGCCGGTCCTGGAGCTGCTGCCGGAGCTCCGACACCCGCTCTTCCTTCTGGGAATGGCGACGGGAATCCCCCCTCAGCCGGGGTCCCCCCCCGAGCCCTCAAATCCCATCTGAGGTCCTCGAACCATCAGTTTAGGGGCCCAATCCCATGTTGGGTCCCCCAAACCCAATTTTGGGGTCCCACAACCCCCATTAGGGGTCCCAATCCCATTTTGGGATCCCCCAACCCAATTTGTGGTCCCACAACCCCCATTAGGGGTCCCAAACCCATTTTGGGATCCCCCAACCCAATCTGGGGTCCCACAACCCCATTTAGGGTCCCCTAACCCCCATTAGGGGTCCCAACCCCTTTTTGGGATCCCCCAACCCAATTTGGGATCCCACAACCCCATTAGGGGTCCCAACCCCATTTTGGGATCCCCCAACCCAATTTAGGCTCCCCCAACCCCATTTAGGGTCCCACAACCCCCTTTTGGGGTCCCAACCCAATTTAGGCTCCCCCAACCCCATTCAGGATCCCCCAAACCCCATTTGGGCTCCCAACCCCTATTTGGGGCCCCTCAGCCCCCCCTTTTGGGGTTGTCCCCCCCCCGACCTCGGCGATGATCTTCTCCAGCTCCCGGTTCTCCTTCTCCAGGAGCCGGGATTTCTCCTCCTCGTTGTTGTTGGTGGAGGATCCCGTTTTCATGGTGTCCTGCTGCTCCGACTGCCACTCCCCCCGCGTGATCAGGCGCCGCATCTGCATTTGGGGCATTTAGGGGATTGACCCCAAAACAATGACTGTGGGGTCCACGGGGGGGGTGTGGGGTCAATAGGATGGTTCGAGGATCAATGGGACGGCTGTAGGGTCAATGGGATCACTGTAGGGTCAATGGGATCACTGTAGGGTTTATGGGATCACTGTAGGATTTTGGGTCACTGCAGGGTTTTGGGATCACTGTGGGGTCTGTGTAGTCACTGTGGGTTCTGTGGGGTCACTGTAGGATTTATAGGATCTCCGTAGGATCTATGGGATAACTATAGGATTTATGGGATAACTGTAGGATTTTGGGTCACTGCAGGGTTTTGGGGTCACTGTGGGGTCTCTGGGGTCGGTCCCAAGCCCACCTTGGGCACGAAGAGCACGACGAGGGTGATGTAGGACGAGAAGACGACGGCCAGCGCCGCGAAGGCGAAGGCGGCGTCCTGTTGGCTGCTCAGGATCATCGTCACCGGCGCCGTGATGAGGCAGAGCACCTGCGGGGGGGGTTTGGGGTCACCTCGTGGGATTTGGGGTCACCCCACGGGGGTTTGGGGTGACCAGGTGGGGTTTGGGGTGACCAGGTGGGGTTTGGGGTGGGTTTGGGTTGTTTTTGGGGTGGTTTTGGGGTGTTTTTTACCGCCACGTTGTAGATGGCCATGCCGACGGCGCGGTGGTCGTTGATCTTCTCGGTGGAG